GCAAATGACAGCAATCCCCTTCTGTACGCTGAAAGAGAAGCAATGACTATAACATCTTGAAAATAAGGTGTCTGCTTAAAACCTAGAGATAGTGACATGACGTCAACACCATCTGCAATTGCTTGGTCCATAGCAGCAAGAATATCACTTTCTACATTAAGTTCTCCAGTTGATACTTTGTACATAGCAATATGTGCACTTGGTGCAATGCCACGGGCTACACCATTTGCATATCCGATTTGACTTGCACCTGATACATGGTTACCTGCGGCTGTTGATGATGTGTGTGTTCCATGCCATCAAAGTCTCTTGGTGAATCGTCTGACGAGTCTGATTCACCAGCAGCCTGAGATCCTTTGATAAATACTTGAGCACCAATGAGTTTTCTATTGCAGGGAAAAGGATTAATTGTACTATTCTGGCACTTTCCCTTCCACCTCGTAGGAATCGGTGGCATTTCTTTTTCGTTGAAACTTTCACTCTCAGGCCAAACTACTGTATCAATCACTCCTATAATCACACCTTCACCATACGATGATGCATTCCACAATCCAGAAGAATGCATGAGCCCCATGAACTGAGGGGAGTGTGTGGTGAACAGTTTGCCTGATTTCTCCTCGTGTACGGCAATATGAGCGGGAGATTTTTTGATTTCTGATACTTGCGATGGTGTCACTTTTTCAAGTGCATCTACTCGGCCTTAGATGACAAGGTGGGTAGTGGACATGCCTGATTAAAGAGCCAACTAGTATCTGTCGACTGGTCATTAATCCTTGCCATACGTCTAACATTGTTGTGGTGCATTATCGTCTTCCAAAAGTATCTATCTTGAAACCCAGGTCAAAATACCTTGTAGGTCCCTGTATTGTTCAAAAGTAATCAAACTGATACCTCTAGAAAAGACTAAAGAAATTTGGTCCATATACTATTGGAAAGGGAACAAAAAAGGGAAAATTGAAGACAATATCTATTTCCACAAATACATGTAGCAAGTTTCAAGTTACGTTTGATTGTTTTTTAAAGTAATTACATAATACAAAAAAAAAACGTAAAAATCTAATATATATATATATATAAAAGAAGTACAACAACAAAAAAACTAGGAAAATCTTCACAAAAAAAGTTCCACAAAAGTTATAAAAATAATTAAAAAATCTATTTTTTAAAAGAATTTCCATCGCTTTCATCTTGTTTAGTTTTTAGAATATGATTCTTAATTTCTTTATATTATTTGAAATTATATAATTTTTAGAAATTTATATTAATGCTTTTTATTGGAAATTTTTTATTAAGTTTTTGGTTTTCTGGTAAAATTTTAAGAATTTTTAAGAAAGTTTCTGGACTCTTATTATATTTAATTTTTTTTCAAAATTTGAATTCGTTTTTATATATTATATAAATTTTTAAATTTTAAAAATCAGGATAGGTGTCATGTATTAATAGAAATAATTAATGCCATATTTACTTTTTTAAATTTTCTTACAAGTTACGAATAGTAAAGGGGCTAAATTATTTTTGTTTGTTTATAGAAGGTTCAATTCGCCCACTTTTGTCCCAGTCATCACATGTATCCCGTTACTTTTAGGCTTTCTAAGAAGGAACCTATAGGAATAACATATGTTAAGCAGTTACAGTGTGGATAACGTATTTTCTGGGTTCTGTAGTAAATAGCCAGTCCGACAACAATGTTGTTAGAGATTGGTGTGAAGAAACACAGTCTTGTCGTTCGTTCTTTTTCCCTTCGGAAAGAAGAATCTTTCCACAAAAGATTCTACTGCCAGTACGTTTAGTTGGGATGTATAAGGGATTTCGAAATTCCAATTCAAATTTGCTTCATCATACGGAAATGAATTAAGAAGCCGAATACATTATTTGTCCTCTAGAGGAACATTATATCCGCATGAATCTTCAAGATAAACAATCAAATGATTTATTGATCAGCAACTTTGCTAAGAATGTCGGTTAGGAATTCTGGACCACCACAGGGCTTGCAACAATGTGTCCATTTTGATCAACCCACTTCAGATAGCCGTAGGCTACCGGAGGAGATTTACCGTACGTTTGCACGCTCGCAACAAAGCTTTGCTTTTGGTATTTGCTTGTGAAGGTGAGGGTGGTCGGCTCTACTCTGAATGTCATCCCATAGCTTGTTTCCACAACAGCGTGGTAAACTGATTGCTCATCTCCCACGTTGGTCACCACTCTGTCAAAGTTCTTTACATTCGAAGAGCCTGTACTAAACATGGCTACAAAAGATGGGTAGTTTACGTCGGATCCCTCTTGACTGCAGTTCCATTGGCATTGTCTAAGAATATCTTTCATCTCGGTGTCATTGTAGCCTAGGCCGCATAAGAAATCAACGTAACCTTGCCAATCAATGTCATAGATGAGTCCGGGATCCATGGCTTTGTTTGGATTGATATGCCCCGCCCCATAATCTAGAGGTGTTCCGGGGAGGTTAGTGGTTTAGTCTGTCAAAGTAGTTCCATTGTTGTCAGTGGTATATGCAGTGGTCATCAAGGCTGATCGGATAGCTGCTGGGCTCCATTCAGGGTGAACAGCTTTAAGCAAAGCTGTCACTCCAGCAACATGAGGTGTTGACATTGATGGGCCTGATAATAATGCGTAATCTGAAGCCAAAAATAGTTGTCAAATTGTTGAATTGGAATTGTTGGCGGGAATGCAGCTAACACATGGACCCTTGGAGCAATAATATTTGGCTTTAGAATGTTTGGGTTAACGGGATCTGGTCCTCTCGAAGAAAAGTCAGCCACTTGTGGTGCAGGCTTTGTGCCGAAACTTGTGAGCACAAATCTCATGATTTTTACTCTTGCATCAGCTGATTCTGTAGCGTACTTTTTTATCAAAGCACCAGAAGAAAATGGTAAAATTAGGCTTGGGATGCTGAGTTCACCGGTATCATAAGGGATCTCATTTGAGATAAGTATTCCTGCGGCTGCACCATTTATTGCAAGCTCCTCCGCTTGCTCAGGAACGCTAATAGTGTTATCGTAATCACAGAGGACCACCTGTCCAAAGACTTCACTCTCATTCAATGCTCCAGTACGGCATATTGCTTTGTCAAAATCACTTTTGCCATAGTACAAAGATGCATCTAAAACTAAAACACGGTTTGGAAACTCTGACTTTCCTTCAAATGTTTGATTGTTTCCTAAAGTAACTGTTGCAGTGAAACTCCGATCAAGTGTTCCTGCGTCAACCGTAGTAATCCATGGTGCTGAATTGTGTGTAGTATTAGGTTCTCCATCATTCCCAGAGGCTTAGACAACAGCAACCCCCTTCTCTATTGCTGAAAGAGAAGCAATGGCTTTGACATCTTGGAAATAAGGTGTTTGATAAAAACCCAGAGATAGTGACATGATGTCGACTCCATCTGCAATTGCTTGATCCATAGCAGCAAGAACATCACTTTCCACAATAAATTCTCCGGATGATACTTTGTACATGGCAACATGTGCACCTGGTGCAATCCCCCGTGCTACACCATTTACATATCCGAATTGACTTGCACCTGGTACATGGTTGCCCGCGGCTGTTGATGATGTGTGTGTTCCATGTCCCAAAAAGTCTCTCGGTGTATTGTCTGGCAAGCCTGATTCACCAGCAGCCTGAGATCCTTTGATAAGTACGTGCGCACCAATGAGTTTTCTATTGCAACGAAAAGGATTGATTGTACTATTATGACACTTGCCCTTCCACCTTGTAGGAATTGGTGGCATTCCTTTTTCGTTGAAAATTTTGCTCTCAGGCCAAACTCCTGAATCAATCATTCCTATAATCACACCTTCACCAAACGATGATGCATACCACTATCCAGAAGAATGCCTTAACCCCATGAACTGAGGGGAGTGTGTGGTGAACTCCCAGGTTTCTCTTCGTGCACGGCAATATGAGCAGGAGAATTCTTGATCTCCAATGCCTGAGATGAGGTCAGCCTAGCACTGAACCCATGGATGACATGGTTGTAAGAGTAAAGTAACATGTCTTTGTCATGAACGGGTTTTGACAACGATCGTAGGATGGCTCGGTGCCAAGTTTCATGGGTTAAAAAAGAAGGTTTAAGTGAATGGTCTAGGTGGACTATATATGTCTTGTATTCTTCGTCTTCTGACTTCACATTACTGATTCCTAGCAACAAAACCAGTAAAAAGGACAGACTAAAATGATGGTAGTTGCAGAAACTCATCTTTCTAGCCTTGCAGATGGGCTAAAAGCTAGGCTAGAAAGATCTACGTTTGATGCTTGTCTTATCACTCCCACTCACATACATATGTCAGAAACGAAACAAAAGACGACATGAATTGCATAACGTTAATTCCAACTTGGTTTTGGCTCAATGTTCAGTTTCTTTTACGTATTGATTTCTCCAAAGCTCTGCTCACTAATGTTTGCTTCAACCTTGTACGAGGCCGGTTGAATTTTTGTTTGCCTTTTCCGTCGTTATCTCAGATTTTGTTGGTTACGCTTATTAGTATCTCAAATATTTGTTCCTAGTCCTACGTCACTGAATGTAAAATGTACGTTGTATTTTCATTTTATCTCATTCAACTAGACTAAGGCATGAATATTCAACCCAGTAAACGTAAACACCAGTTTTTTTTTTTACTACTTTCCGTCGATAGGTTAATTGTTCCAATTCAAATAGTTACACATACTTTTAGTGAAAAAAATAAGAGAAGTTACAACTTCATAATCAAGAAAAATTGTTAGAAAAGACAAGATGGATTGCAGAGCGTTAAATCCAATCCAACTGGGTTTTGGCTCCACGTTCGATGTGCTGATTTCTCCAAAGTTTTGCTCATCAATGTTAACTTCAACCTTGTATTGATAATGCCATGATTAACAAATGGTACCGGCCTTTTAATTGAAGTTCTTCGGCAATTTTTATGACCTGGTGGCTTTCGTCTTTTACCTCAATCAGAAATTCACTTCCATATATAAATAAAAGCAGAGCATCCATTTTGGTTGTTAAAGAAAAAATGGGGTTCCTTAATTGTTTTTGTCATCTGAAATGTATCCATTCCCTGCTTCTCATATCCCTTTTGTTCACTCTCTGTATTCATTCCTCATCCGCAAATACGTTTATTGTCCATATGGATAAGTCCTTGATGCCCAAAGTCTTTTCAAGTCACCACAGCTGGTACTCCTCCGTTGTTGATTCTCTGAAATCAACAAACAATCCTCAATCCTTACCATCCCTCATCTACTCTTATGATGGTGGAGCTCATGGTTTTAGTGCCGTTCTATCTGCGGATGAACTAGAAAAACTGAAAATGTCTCCAGGATTTCTCTCGGCTTATCCTGACCGGACTGTCACAGTCGATACAACTCATACCCCAGAATTCTTGTCTCTCCACACATACTCCGGGCTATGGCCTGCTTCAAACTATGGTGAAGATGTCATCATTGGTGTTATTGACACTGGTGTTTGGCCGGAGAGTGAGAGCTTCAAAGATGATGGTATGAGTCCAGTTCCATCCAGGTGGAAAGGCAAATGCGAGGAAGGCCAGGAATTCAACTCCTCCATGTGTAACTCCAAGTTAATTGGAGCTAAGTATTTCAACAAGGGTGTGATTGCAGCACACCCTGGAATTAACATAAGCATGAATTCTGCTAGAGACACCGCTGGTCATGGAACACATACTTCCTCCACTGCAAGTGGGAATTATGTTGATGGAGTATCTTTTTTTGGTTATGCTGAAGGCACAGCAAGAGGTATTGCCCCACGGTCCAAGGTGGCAATGTACAAGGTCATATGGGATGAGGGGCGCTATGCGTCTGATGTTCTTGCAGGTATGGATGAGGCTATTCGTGATGGTGTCGATGTGATATCCATATCTATGGGGTTTGATGGAGTACCACTGTATGAGGATCCTATCGCAATTGCCTCATTTTCTGCCATGGAGAAAGGTGTGCTTGTCTCTTCATCAGCAGGGAATGAGGGGCCACATTTAGGGAATTTGCACAATGGAATCCCATGGGTCCTGACAGTAGCAGCTGGCACCATAGATCGTTCTTTTGCAGGAATTGTGTCTCTAGGAGACGGGAAAACCATCACTGGATGGACCTTGTTTCCAGCTACTGCTTTAGTTCAAAACCTTACATTGATTTACAACAAAACTTTATCAGCATGCAATTCAAGCGTATTGTTATCTAACGCCCCAGTTGGGATCATCATATGCGACAATATCGGTTCTTTTTACAATCAAGTCAATGAAATCACGGTGTCAAGGGTGCAAGCAGCAATATTTATTTCAGATGAACCTGAACAATCCAGTATGCCCTGTCCTGGTGTTGTGATTAGCACCGAGGATGCAGCTTCTCTTATAAAATATGTCACAAGCAATAAAGATCCTAAAGCTAGCATTAAGTTTCAGCAGACCATTCTAGGAACAATGCCTGCTCCAGCCGTGGCCTCTTACACTTCGAGAGGTCCATCACCAAGCTATCCTGGCGTCTTAAAACCAGATATAATGGCACCCGGTTCTCTTGTCTTGGCGGCTTATATTCCCAACAGTTATGCAGCTTCAATAGGGAATTATATATTCTTATCTAGTAACTTCGCAATGCTCTCTGGAACATCCATGGCGTGTCCGCATGCTTCTGGTATAGTCGCACTCTTAAAAGGTGCACACCCTGAGTGGAGTGCAGCGGCTATAAGGTCTGCCTTGGTGACCACTGCAAATCCATTAGACAACACTATGAAACCAATCAGGGACAATGGTGATGTTAGTTTGTCTTTTGCTTCACCGTTAGCAATGGGAGCAGGCCAAATTGATCCAAATCAAGCACTGGATCCGGGTTTGATCTACGATGCAACCCCACTAGACTACGTGAATCTTTTGTGCACCATGAACTTCACCCAGAAACAAATCATGACCATCACAAGATCCAAGAGCTACGATTGTTCGAATCCATCTGCTGATCTGAATTACCCGTCTTTTATTGCTTTATGCGATCCCAATGTGTCAAAAGCTACATTCAAAGTATTTAGCAGGACAGTGACGAATGTGGGACAAGGTTCTGCAACTTACAAGGTTAAGATAGTGCAGCCTGAGGGTTCAACCATCACTGTTTCGCCAAAGGTATTGGTCTTCGGAAAAACATATGAGAAGCAAACCTTTAGTGTAACTATAAATTGCAGCAGTAACAATAACGGGAAAGTTCCATTTGGTGAAGTTGTTTGGATTGAAGAAAATGGAAAACACAAAGTTAGGAGCCCTGTTGTGGTGTCACCCGTACCTGCTGTAACTTACTAGGGAGGATCGCCAGAGGCTGGAACTTGTTAAGATCTACATCTAAGTAGAATAATATAAATAAAAATTATTTATTTAAAAGTCCCAGTCAAAAATATTTTTATGGATCATTACGATAATATAAATAAAAATAAAAATAACAAAAGGTGGTAAGTTAGTTTCACAATATTTGTCTTGGTTTTCATGGCATATTCCGAAATATTCATTTACTCTAAATAAAATATTTATTAAAGCGGAAGTTCAACGTAATTTCTTTCAAAGTAATTTAGAAAATGAAAATCACCAGAAAAAATGTTTAAATTATATCTATATATTTTTTTAATAGTTTAGAAACTTTTTTAGTTAAAATTTATACTTAACATTTTATTTTACTATCATTTCAATATCGAATCACCAATAACTATAAAAATACCTATTTTTAATTTTTATGTATATAGCTATTAAGATTACAAATATTACTTTGAAGTAGTACTTCCCTTTTACATTTACATAAATATTTAAGTAAAATAACTAATATAATTAAGGGAAATTCTATTGCGCACATCACACACCACTAAAGCGACATACCGAAACACACCACTAAAGCTAAGTTATACGTTTTGTACTTAAATTATCACATTTATTTCGTTTTAGTATTTAAATTTTAATTTCTTTTTAAAATCATTAACAATAATACTTATGTGATATAACATGTCATTTTTTTATTTTTTTAATTACCACATCACATTTTTCATTATTCATGAGTATTTTTAATTAATTTTATTCAACCAATTAGGTGGTGACACATACGAGGATAAAAATGTAAATATTATTCTTGATCATAGTATGAATTGAACGAAACAAATCACTCAACCATTAAGCTAAGCTAGCAATTTAATAAGATTTCATCGCATTTTGTACTTAGCTTATATAACGGTATCACCACAAAATCAATATTTTTTTTATGATTATAAGATTAAAAAATGAGACACTTTAAATGAATCACCGAAAGCTTGGTCACTCAACTACAGTGTGACTGAACTTAATACTTACTTATTCATTATTAAATTAAAAGACTAATTTTTTATATAATATCATTTTTAAATTATCTATTTAATTCTAATAATTTAGGGTAAATTATACTTTTAGTATCCAACTATCACTTTGGTTTCGTAAAATATTATTTAAAATTAAATATATAATTTAAAAATATTATTATTTTAAATAAATAATTAATAGTATTCCAAATAAATAAATAATATGATTTTAAAATAATTTCATAATATTATAAATATAATTTTTTTTATAATAATTTAATATAAAATTTATAAACATTTAAATAATTATTAAATTAATTATTTTTTATTTACAAATAAAGTGAAAATGTATTCTTTAACTTAATAATGATATAAAAAATTATTATATTATTAAGTTTAATATAATAAAAATATATTTGTGTTATAATGGAATGACTAAGCTTTCGATCATTCCTTTAAAGTGTTATCACTAAAGAAATGTGTTGAAACACACCACAAACAAATTTATCCTTATTATATAAATATTAAAAAATATAAAAGATTTCTTTAAGATTAACTATTTATTAAAATTAATTTTACTTTTAATAGAATTATAATTACACTCTTACAAGCTCCTTTTGACAATAATATATTTTTAGAAAGAATCAGTAAAGCTACTCTGGAACTTGCAAACTCTCTTCCTCCTCCCTTCCTCTTTCTTATTATCCATGTACCCCTTCATAGCTAAACTCTTCTATCCCACCATCGAATCCCGCCCCAACTTCCTTCAACAGAATCCATCCATCAAACCCTTCCTTCAACAAATTTGGCTGCATATACAGTTTTCTATGCATGTTCCAAGGCTGAAGAATTTGTAGGAGATTATGTAGGTTTGCCTTTTGATGACGATGGCAAAGATCCTCATGTTGTCTCAATTGTTTAAACTTCGATGAAAAACAGCAGATTTTTGGTAACTTTGTTTATCTGCACTTTTGTTTTCACCAGAAGCTTAGAGTAGTTAAGTACAATGGAGTATGACAACAAGAACATATCGAAAACCTTTTTCCTTTTCCTTCTTGCCATCCCGAATGCAAGTCCCTTACGACCGAGTCTTCGATGATACACCGATAGCTAGTCTTGCCTTGATGGAAACCAGTGTTGCCCTTACAACCATTGTCATCTGTTCTCATCTTCAAGGCCCATAAATTAAAGAATGAACTTCTTATCAACCGACTTCTTTGATCACAATTGATCACAGAATTCTCATATTAGTCTGGCTAGATGATGATGGTGCTTTTTGTTTAACAACAGTGCTAGATGGTGCAGCATATGATTTTTTGGCGAAGTAAGGTGATCGCCGGTGGCGACTGACGATGATGACCTGTTCTAAATTTATATAAATTAAAAATTGTAATTTTAAACAAATTAAATTACTTAAATTAATTATTATTTTTAAGGAAAAATCATAATTTAATTATAATTCTATTAAAATTAAAATTAATTTTAATAAATAATTAATTCTAAATAAATTCTTATACCTTTTAATATTTATATAATAAAAACAAATTTAGTTGTAGTGTGTTTCGGTACTTCACTTTAATGGTACGTTACAGTGCGGTGTACGATGTGAGCTGTAGACTCGTCCCAATATTATAACTATGATTTCCAAATCTGAAAACTTTTATATTTAAAATTTCACAACATAATGCAACAATTATTGAAAATATTTTTAAATTTTTTAATAATTATGTCATTCTTTTTATTACTATCACAAATATTAATGTTAATTTAACTTTTTCGACTAATTTTTTTTTTTCATCTCATCGTTAAACCTCACCCCAAAAACTTCCCCAAATCCCTTTATGAGCTTATAGAATTAATAACAATTAGTCTTCAGAAAATATCGATTGCCAAATTTCGATTCTTTATCATGGCTGCTGATCATACCAAACCCTTTTGCCTTTGGCTTTCTTTCATCTCATTTGTCTATACTGAGCTAGCATATGTTGATAATAATATCGTCCACATGGACCTATCAGCCATGGCCACAGCCTTATCAGGGCAACTAAGCTGGTACTCAGCCACCCTTGCATCTTTATTAGACAACTTCAGAACTAAAAAACCAACATAACAATCCCCTCTTCTAAGCTTATCTATAGCTATCAGAACGTTATTCAAAAGCTCTAGTGCTAGTCTTACACCCGCAGAGCACGAGGCCTTGCAGTATTAGCAATAAAAGATATATTGAAAATGTATCAGATAGTATTTCAAGAACTGTATCAACTATACAAGAGGGCTAACAATTTAAGGAGCTAGAGATAGTATTTCAAGTACTGCACATATTTGGGAAATGCTCTCATTTCATGGAAGTCTAAGAAGCAGGCCACAGTCAGTCGCTCCTCTTGTGAAGTGGAATATCGTGACATGGCTTATGTCACTTGCGAGTTGGTTTGGTTGGTCTCATTGTTGTCTTCCTTCAACATTTCCATTCCTCATGTGAAGTTGTTTTATGATAATCAAGCTGCCCTACATCTTGCTACCAACCAAGTTTTCCATGAACGCACGAAGCACATAGAGCTTGATTGTCATTTTGTCAGCGACAAGGTTAAGGATGGTTTCTTGAAGTCGCTGCACGTTCAAACTTTAAACCAGCTAGCTGATGTATTTACGAAGACGCTCAGGCTACCTATGTATAAAATGTTTATGGACAAGTTGGGACTCCTCAACATCCACGCAGTCCCATCTTGAGGGGGTATTAGTATATGCGAATGTAACTGCTTTCAGTTAAGTTGGTTTTTCCAGCTTTGGTATATGCTTTCAAAAACTTTAGCAGGGGAAACATATTGTAAAAGAATTTAGTGATGTTTGATATAACACCTTAAAACATATTGTAAAAGAATTAAAGATGTTTGATGTATCCACACAGTATAAAACTATTTGGTAATAAATGGAGCCTGCGCACGTTAAGTCTGAGCTGTGAATGGAATAGCAGAAAATATTAAAACTGTGCAATGATATAATTTTAGGTGCCAAAGTTGTTGCCCAGCTGCATTAACTTGAGAGAGAAATAAAATCAGTTTCTGTATAAGGTGCCTACAGTTAACATATTGATGCTATTAGCTCTGCGTCTTTAACTTTGTATGCATTATCAAACTATGTGATTTTCAGGGAGAGGTGAAGATGTAGTGCATATAATCAGATATTGAATCATTACAAATTATAATGGTTTATGTGGTAGAATGCAATTCCTAGAGATACGTGCAAATTAATAAATATTATAAAATAGATTTATTATTCTTAAAAACTTGGAGCAGAGGTTGTCATCTTTTTAGGTTTATTATTAGAATAGCTTCAAATGGAGGTTGTTGATCTGCATTTTTAGGTAGTGTTTGTTTTCACTGTTTAAGGTCTTCAAAACTCTTATGTTTGCGCCGCGCAGACCACGCGCAGACATTGGACTTCGCATACCGTTTGTTTTTTAGAAGACATAAGCTCTTCTAACGTCTGTGCGTCCTCTTCTTGGCGCAGACGTGCACTTATGTCTTCAAAGCTCTTCTAACCTCTTTAAAGAACCATTTTTACTATTAATTTTTTAAAAATTATAAAATATCATTAAATTTAATGAATTATTACAAAATAATCACTATAATGTTGTAATAAATTATAAAAATTCGATAATATAATAATTATTTTATAGTATTTAGATAAATTTATTAATAATTTTATAATCTTTTAATAAATTTAATAATTATTTTATAATTTTTTAAACTTTATTGGCGAAAATGATCATTTGTATATAACTCAACGATATTTAATATACTTTATTTGAAAAAATATATTAAACTTAGTAAAAAATATTATACAATTAAACTTAATAAACTTTTTTTATATATAAAAACTTAGAAAATCATGGGAACATACAATTATTAGCATTAAAGACAAAATAAATGTTTTAATAAAAAAATATTCACACTATTGAAAAATCTGATTCTTATCATTTAATTCTGG